CACCACTATGAGTAGGTTGGCGAAAAGGTAGCGTTAGATGAGGATTCGGTGTGAAAATGATGACAGAACGACGTTTACAAGCTGGGTATTGAAGAAACATAACAGTGGTCCGAAGCAGTAAGCTGTAACTGAGCGCGACAAACCTTTGTGGCAACAGGAGTTGCATGTTGCATAGGTTGGGAAGGCAATGCACTATCGAGCCCGATGAGTTAATCTGACACAATTAACCTATGAAGTCGAATTAAGAAGCAATTAAGAAGCATGCAACAGAGAAACCGAGTTGTCAATAATCTCGATGAGATCCGGCCCACTGTTGAAGTTGAAAGCGTAAGACGAAAAGGTGTGAGGTGAAACAGGAAAAAGTGGTGTGGAGAGACCTTCATTGTTTCGAAACACGAACGGAGAGCGTATACATTAACCAGTGTCGGTTACAACCTGCTATAATTCACGGTTGGTTACCATTTCGACCAACACAACCGGTCACGTGAACTGAAGCAAACGCCACGGTTCTAGAAAATAGAGACCATCTAATGCAGCGTAAACACAGCTATGAGCTTGCATAATCCAAAGAGTAACATCGACCGGCTAACAAGTCAAAAACGACAGAACCCAGTAACCTGGAGGCAATTGAGATGAGCCAGATTCCTCTATGACTGCCGCATACCGAACATGAGCCTCCTTTGAAATTTGGGACTATAACGGAGCGCTTCTAATCTGTTAGGACAGTTGCCTGATCGCACAGCATTCCTAAGCTGTGCAAATCCTACTTAAGATTAGGTCCTTCGAATCTGAAGAGTGCTAGAGGAAGTTTATACGCTCCTGCGGCCTTACCTAATTTTCAGTGTCTGGGTTCACGTTGCACTTATGCGCGCCAAGGTGGATTCAAGGGGACGGCCCAGTGAGAATCGCGGGCACTGGTCGATAAGGAAGCGGCGTATACACAGCTGCGACCCTACATAATTCACGGAATGACACCAATTGGGTTAACTAGTCAAAAACTATACTTAATGTAAAGCAAGTGATTAGGAGTGATGGATATAAAGGAGACTGATTGGAAGTAACAAGTGGCTCGATTAGGTAATATATTATACACAATCTGTGGTACAGATATTGTGCCATCGGAATCATGGCTGAATAGGAAAACAATATGAATAATAAGAAAAGAGCAACAAGAAATGCTTTTTTGTCAAGTTTACCACTCACAGTTTTTGAAATTTTTTTTCAGTTTGTTCGTTTTTAGGGGGAGGAGGAAGGGACACCGCAACACACTGATGCACACGTCCGCCATTGACATCGATCTTGAGCCATAACTTCCAAGGTTTTCAACCAGCAAGTATCCTCATCTCTCGGACCCCAACCAGGTAGTCGACAACAACCGGCCGAGGCCAAATGTTTCGTCAACTTTTTCATGCGGCTTCTCCATGTTGTAGGCTGTCCACCAGACCGTCTCTTCCAGCCCTGTCCAGCAAGTGCAAACAACGCACGACGGGGGTAACGCTGGACAGGCATGCGCAATACGTGTCCCAACCACCGCAGTTGATGCAGTGAGATGAGCTCCTCGAGCGAGTGGCTTCCACGTCCCAAGACACGCTGTCTAACTTCCACATTGCTTACGTGGTGCTGCCGCCACACACGGGCAATGGACCGCAGACAGCGGTGCTCGAAGACGGATAGCCAGCGCAAGTCATCTTTACGAATGGGCCAGGTCTCGCATCCGTACAACAGTACAGCACGAACAGTTGCACAATAGACCCGCCCTTTGATGGAGAGACGAATGTTGTGGCGACGCCACAAATGCCTCAGCCTAGAAAAAGCGAGGCGTGCTTTCGAGATGCGCATCGAAATCTCGTCTCCAACAGCCCCGCCAGCAGTGATGCAACTTCCCAAGTAGACAAAGCTCTCCACAACCTCCAGTGTCTCACCAGCAAGCGTGAGTGCAGGCAGAGGCACCTGCCAGTCTTGAAGGAGAGCCTTGCATTTGGATGGCGAAAAGCACATACCATACTTTGATGCTTCAATCGTCAAGCGGTTTAATGCAAGTTGGACGACCTGTGGATCGTCACCTAGCAAGACGATATCATCAGCATAATCCAAATCAACAACTCGAATACCTGGGAGGAGCTCAACGCCAGCGTTCAACGAATCGCTCAGAGCGTTCTTCAGGACGTCCTCAATGGCAAAGTTGAATAGGAACGGAGAGATAGGGCATCCTTGTCGAACTCCACTGGAGACCACAAAGGTAGGCGAAAGCGTGCCATAAGCCATAACCCTGCCCGAGGTCAGACTGTATAGAGCGCGCAGTATGGAGACGAACTTCTCGGGGACACCGTTCCTCAGAAGGCACTGCCACAGCACTGTACGATCGACAGAATCGAAGGCAGCACGGATATCCAGGAACACAGCAATCGTTGGCCTCTGATACACATGGCGGAGCTCGAGGATCTGGCGAAGTGTGAAGATTTGATCGGTGCAGCCGCGACCAGGGCGAAACCCAGCTTGTTCTTCTCGCTGCAACGATTCGCGTGTTGGGGATAGCCTGCGAAGTATGATGGACACCAGCAGCTTGCAAACGACGGGGACTAAACTTATTCCTCTGTAGTTGGAGCAGATTGTGCGCAGACCCTTTTTGAAGATGGGTACGACTATCGATTCACCCCAAGATGATGGAACCTTCTCTTTCGACCAAATTTTCGAGAACAAAACGGTGAGTTCTCGGACCAGCGATGCGCCACCATCTTTAAATAGAGCTGGGTGAAGACCATCAGGGCCGGGAGCTTTATAACGCTTCAGGTGCCGGAGCTCCTGCTCGATTTCCTGGGAAGAGGGAGGGTCTGTTGGGGTAGACCACTCGGGCCCAGCGCGAGCGCCAGAGGTAGCAGATGGAGCTGGGGGCCAACAAAACTGCGAGCCAAAATGTTCGGCCCATCGCTCCAACCGTCGTTGAAGATTGGTGATTAAGGTGCCATCCTCTTCGCATATTGTTTCACTTATACCAGATCGAACACCTTCGGTGACTCGAAGGCCATGGAAGAGTTTCCTGGTATTACCACAGAGACTAGCAAGCTCCATCTCCCTAGCACGTTCACACCACCACGCTTCGCGGTCCATTTGCAGACTCCTGCGCAACTCTCGACCAAGGTATTGGCGTTCTTCAACGTGTCTCGAATCCGATGGGATCAAGCGGCGTTTGTCCATCAGCGACAAGGAGTCGGCGGAAATCCGATGTTTCGGTGGGTGACGGGTAACTCCACAAGTGTCGATACTGGCTGAAACTAACGCATCATTGATATGCGCCCACTGCGAATCGAGATCACCGTCAATAGTTGAGCCAAGCAAAGTTGACAGTGAGGCTTGGTACCTGGTTAAAACCGCAGCGTTTTGTAGATTTGCGACGTCCGGTCGGTAGTGGGCGCGCTTAGGTGATCCTCCGAAACGCATGCAAATCTTAGCACGAACCAATGCGTGATCAGAGTCCAGAAAAGTTGACCAGTACGATCGGCAGTCCATTACGCTTCCGCGCCATCTGTAGCTAATTGCTATGTGGTCAAGCTGGGAGCACTCTTGCGTTTGTGAGGGCGGGCGCCAGGTAGCAGTCTGTCTCCTCGAGTGTCGAAAACTAGTGCTCGAAAGAAACAAGCGGTGATCAGAGCAAAGAGCAAGTAGTCTGTCTCCATTGTCTGATCGACTGCCACCGAGACCAAAACTACCCCCAATGTGGTGCTCGCTTGGTAGAAGGCGGCCAACCCGTGCGTTAAAGTCCCCGGCAAGAATGACTATATCCGTCCGTTTGGAGGAACGCAGAAGTTCATGTAGTTGTTGGTAGAAGCTATCTTTAACTGCATCCGGGCTGCAGTCTGTAGGGGCGTAGGCGGAGACGACAAATAAGGCACGCTTAACATCTCGACGCCTGCTTACGTTACATGAACCTCTTAGTCTGACTGCACATAGTCGGCTGTTGACTGGGATCCAGTCAAGCAGAGCTGATTCAGCCCTGGCATTTAATACAACCCCAACACCAGCTTGACCAGTGGCGGCAGATTCTGGGTCTCCGGAAAGCCGCAAGTAGTATTTGGCGTCAGAGTTTACCGGAGAGGCCATTCTGATGACGGCGCTAGAGTCTTGTAATCTGGTCTCTGAAAGACAACAGATGTCTACCGATAGCGTTTCAAGAGTACGGGCCAGACATGCTTGTCGTCCGATCTGCATCAAAGTTCGAACATTAAACGCTGCGAGGATGAATGGAGAACCAGGTCGGAGAAGAGCTGGAGCTTCGGTGGAGTGAGAGGCGGTTGCGATCGCAGGACATGGAGAATCGGGAGTTTGGCTGTTACTTCCATTAGCTGCGAGACGTGGGTCGTTTGTGACGGTGACCGTAGGAGACCTAAGAGTACATGTAGATGAAGGACGGGAGGTGGGGTGGTCTGTGAGTGGACGTTGAGCGGTTGAGTTAAGACAGAAGAGCGGCATAGCAGTAGTAGTAGTGAGCGGTGAAGTCCATGATTCGTCAGCGGGCGTGATACTACCCGGTTGCCCAGGCCGAAGTAGAGGGTTGTCTTAGGGGGCCCTACCCCGAGCCTTTGATCAAAGATCTAACCTACAAGGCAGCAGGGCGATGTGAGGGCGTCGCAACCCGTTGGGAGCCGGCGACCAGGTAGATGGTTCATACGCCTTTCGGTCCGTGAAGGACCAGGGGCCCAACTCACCCTTAAAGTACAATGCCTCTCAGGGAGGGGCAAGGGGCAGTGACTTTATTTAGTGGCGAGTCACATCCGCCACGTCGCGGTGTTGTTAAACGGACATATGTGGCTTTTTATAGGGAGAACGCTTGCCAGGCGAAAACCCACCACGTCCTGGAACACTGCCGCCGAACCATTCGCTGGAACGGGAAAAACCCGAACCACCCAGCTGGCACCACGAGGAGGTTGTTCGGCAAGTCAGCCCTCGATTAGGTAAACAAGAAATGAAAGGGTTATAGTACTCAGTACAGTGGCGAGTTTGGTTCAGAGCGAACAACAAGTGCAACCGGAGATTAACTTACCCAGGAAATGGGTGCAACAACTATTTTGAGTTAAACTACCACTAGAGGTATTTTGCTTGAAAAGAGAGAAGACGTCGGCGTTGCGAGTGAAAACGTAGCAAGCCAGAGGCTTTTCCCTGAAGCAAACACAAATGGATTAAGTAGACTGCAGAGGCTATTTTACTAACTTGGAGCGGATATAGTTCACTGCCTCCTCGGCAGAGTCAACTTTCATGATAGGCAGGATAGGACCGAATATCTAAATGGAGGTGATGGAAGAGACATCGCGTTGTGAGAAATGAGAGGATGGAATGGCATGGGGATAGGGTGAAAACAGAAGACTACATTGTGCCAAAAGCCATGCGAACACATACGCAAAGAGGAGTCAGCCAACTGAGGGATTAAACACAAACAGTACATTTATGCTCGTAAAAAGGTGGTAAAGCGCCTGTAGTCAGTGAAATTGGATAGCATATCCCTCAGTAGGTCACAACAACGGGTCGCATGGCACATAGATGAGTTAACAGATACTGAGGCTAGTGGAGGACCGCGCCGGCCGTCATTGGACATATATATATATATATATA